CGGGGCGGGGTGGGGGGGCAGCCCCTGAGGGGGGAGAACCCCAGCTCCTCCCTCTTGCCCCCAACCAGGGGTCCTGGTCCCCTTCGGCCCGGGAGGTAGGGGTCCCTGGGGGGGGAGTCGGGCCGCCCCCTTGCTCCTGTTACCGCTCTCGACTCTTCCCCACTTGGGCTTCTCTCTGGGTCCCTCCAAGCCTCCTCTCTGCCCGTCTGTCTCCTCAACTCTTTCCTGTCTATCCGTCCGTCTCCATGTCCATCTGTCCGCTCGCCTGTGTGTCTGTCTCCCCACTGTCTCAGCCCGTTTTTTTCTCTTTCTCTTCTCTCCTCCAGAACTCCAGCCCTGCCTCCACTGACTCTTTGGGTCGTTGGCTGGTCCCGGGCCTCGCCTGTGCTGCCAGGGTTACCGCCAGGCAGAAAAGTGGTCTGCCAAACTGCCAGGTCCCTGGCGCTCCGCCCGCACCCCCCCTGACTCCCCCCCAGGACTGCACCCGCAGGGACACGGAGACACCAGTGTCCTGGCCCGGGACCTCGCCGACAGGGCCGCCCTCTCTGAGCCTCGGCTTCCGCTGTTGCTCACCGTCCACTGTCGTGCCGGCCTGGTGGGACTGTCTCCCTGCCGTCTGGCACCCCGCTGGGCAGCCTGTCCCTGTCCTGTGTCCCCTGTGCCTTGCCCAGAGCAAGAAGGGCAAGGGCTCTGTTTCTGCAACTTCAGGTAGTTTTTCCAAGAAGCCTGCGTCCCCAGAAGGCAGGACGCCAGCTTTCGGGGGTGGGGGGGGCACGCAGGCCCAGGCTCTCACCAGCCCCACCCCCAGCCAGGGGTGCAGATCCTCCGGACAGCAGGTCTCCTCGTAGCCCTGCTCGCTGCCTCTGCCGAGTGGGGACGACGCCAGCTGTCGCGGTGCCTTCCTGCAGGGCGGTGGGGAGGTTCACGGCCACTTTGTGGGGAGAGCGCTCCCCGTGTCCCGTCTGTCCTTCTGTCCTCTTTACCTTCTACACAGAGTACGGGGAGGCCTTTCCACAGACGGGCTGGGTGGTGTTTCTCCCCACAGCCGCTTGGACAGGGCGGTGCTGGGCGCGACCCCTGCTGTCTGCGCGGCCGCGTCCTCCCACATCTCTCCCTAGGCCCTGGGCAGGCCAGGCCCGCCGTTCTCGTCCCTCCCACCCACCCCTCTGCCTGCCTGAAGCTGACTTGTCTGCCAGGCGTGGCTGGGAGTTTCGTCCTCACGGGTCTTCCCTGAGCTCCCCTGGGATTTCCGCAGCACCCTCTGCCTGCCCCCGAGTGTTGGCCCCTGGCTTCACGCCGTCCCCCCCAGCTTGTCCACAGCACACCCTGGAGGACAGGGCGGAGACCTTATCTAACCCGTCACCGAACCCTCTACCCTTGGTCCGGAGCCCGGCTCAGACTAGCCTCAGTATTTGCTGATGAACCACATGGAAAACCGAATGAACAGGTCCACAAGTCGGAAGTATCAGCGTGACTTTTATTCTCATCTCCTCGCAGCATGTGGGCACTTAACAACGAGTAACACTTTAGATTTCTTTCTTGTCTGACTCTCCCAGCCTTCCTTTGAGACACATAGTTTGTTAATGAATTAATTCCTTTATCCATCCATCCATCCATCCATCCACTCAACATCCATCTTGTACTGATCAAATATCCCACCTTTGCGGGGCCCTCTGCCAAAGGCTAAACCTGGAGGACCCAGTCCCTGCCCTTTAAGGAGCTTCCCCTCGGGGGAGAACATGTTTCCCAAGGGCAGCAGGCAGTATACCCACTTGTGAGACGGCAACACCGAGGCTCAGAGCCCAGCCGTGACCACTGAAGGCAGCTGTGCCTGTCAGGACCTGACCGCACGCTCACCAACTGGTGACTCCGGACGGTGTGGCAGGAGCAGGGTCCCTCTGCTCGAGGACCACCGCATGCTGCGTGCGGTGCAGACACTTCACGAATTCCCCAGGATGCTGACGACCTCCTCCTTTCTCTCCAGGTTCTCGACTGGACCGGGTTGGTGGCCTGAATGTATTAGCTTCGCTGCGTCTCCCCAAGAGGTAAGGGCCACGGCGCGGAGCTCTGCTCGTCACTGTCCTTGGGCCCTATTTCCCCTCAGAGCCCCTGCTTTCCCATCCTTGCCCCTGCCCCGCCCCAGGGGTGCTGCCCTTCCTTTCTGCCTCTGCCCTCCGCGAGTTTTGTCTGGCTAACTTGTGTTTTCATCCTCTGTGTGTCTGGTGGCTTGCTGGCCAAGCCAGTGGTGCTGGGTGTCGGTGACCGTGGGGGCTTCTGCTGAGCGCTGGGGCTCGGTGGGTTAGAGCGAGGGTAAGCTGGTGGCTCAGGTCACAGCTTGGGGTAAGGCACACCGGTGTCCGCATCTCTTTTCTGTCCCTCCCTGACTGCAAGTGACTGGGGACCCGAGGAGCTTCTATCTCCTCATCTGTGAAAGGGAAAAATGACAGAAGCCACCTTAAGTGTTGGCCCTGAGGACAGAAGGCCAGTGAGGCCATTTTAATTCCAGCTTCAGAGCTGAGTGGCACCAGCCATGCCCCACGCCAGCTGTGTGACCCTCCGTTGCCTGCCCTGTCCCAAGGAGGACAGAGACAGCACCCAGGCCCCAGGATGTGGGGATGAGAGAAGTCACTCCATAAAAGCATGGAGCCTCAGGAGCTCAAGATGCAGCTGGAAGCTCCCTGAACAAGTGAGGGTCGGTGAGGCCCCTCTCACAGCCCACTGAGACCCCCCAAACAGAGGCAGGTGTTGTCCAACCACTCAGCCACCGCCCCCCGGAAGCTCCGGGCTTGCTCCACTCAGCTTGGCGAGGCCCGGACAGTGGGCTTCACAGGTGGGGCCAGGCCCGTGGGGAGGGCCTTCCACGCCGCTGCCTCCATTCCAGCCAGAGCAGCTTCACCTGCAGACCTTGAGACCTCTGAGGAGTCCTCTAGGCGCCCTCCTGGGCCTCCTACCCGGTGTCCTTGCTGCACAAGGGGTAAAAAACTCACTCTAAGAAGCAGATAAAACTATAGTCCAGGGTTTGCAACCTGAGGTGGTAGACAATGCAGGAGGCCGGGGTTGTTTTTCTGGTGTACGGACTGTCCCCCACAGAGATGCAAGGGGACAAGGTCCCCCACTGGCCAGATTTTCCAATTTTTCAAAAGAAGCCAGAAAGGTTGTATTACAGTTAGCACAACATTTCAAAACTCCGGGCGTGGTCCAAACTGCACGTTTTAGGCAGCCCGGGCCCACAGCTTTCTCGCTGCAGTGCAGGCTTTCTCCCAGGAAAACATCCCTACCTCTACTGACCGTGCTCCAACCTCGGTGTTCGCGAGCCCCTGAAACTCTTCTGCGAACCTCCTTCCAGCTGGTCAGGAGCGTAGGCAGGGGCCTGGGGCCAGGTTGCCTGCTCTCTCCAAAGAACCGGACTGTAGCTTCCCAGGGACGCTCACGTCCTCTGCTGCTCCTGACATTGAAAAGAGGGTCCAGGGGCTGCTTCCGGGTTGCAGAATTTGTTCCAGGGCTAGAGGCTGGTTTTGAAGAACGCCTGAAAGTTGGGCTCCAGCTGGGCTAAACATAATTACTCTTAAACGCATTGTGTTTCAGAGTTGGTGGAGGCAGCTCCTGGGTTCAGAAAGATGCTTGTTGAGTATCCCAGTTTTCACAGACAATGCGTGACAGAGCTGGTGACGTGTGCCCGAGAGCTGTTCAATCCCAATGAGGGAACGGATAGTGCTTAGGGACCCCTTGTATGCCGGGGCCTGTTCTGGGCTCTTGGCACTCAACCCTCACTGCAGCCCTGTGAAGTAGACTTAGTCGTGTTACAGGAGAAGGAGACTGAGGCACAGAGAGGGAGGCAACCGGCCTAAGGTTTCGAGGGAGGCAGCGGCCCAGGCCGCGATTGAACTAGGGCCTGCCTGGGCTTCAGGGTCTCATTCCCCCGCCTCACCAAAACCCACCTGAGTTTTTGGGATCTCTTTGGTCGCCAATCTTTGTGCTCTGGGAGAGAATTTGACTTGGGGAAACGCTGGGAGTCTTACTTGGCGCCAAATCTGATGCATTTAGCAATGAAGGGGTTGGATCAGGGGTCCCCAATATCCAGGCCTCAGACCAGTACCTGTCCCGGCCTGTTAGGAACTGGGCCACACGGCAGGAGGTGAGCCTGAATGTCATGCGCTTGAGTCATCCGGCAACCACCTCTCCCACCCCGACTCCGTCTGTGGAAAAATTGTCTTCCGTGAAACCGGTGCCTGGTACCAAAAAGGTTGGGGGTCGTTGGGTTGGATAATACTGGGGTGACGTGTTCTCTTTTGATAGAAACTAGAGACAAATCTGCAGCAGAGGTGTTTGGCTGATGGAGTCTGTAGATTCACCTCGAAGGCTGCTGCTAAAGTATCTGAGGGGAAGTCACCCTCGCAGTCAGATGTGTTTGAAGGAGGCCGCACTCTTTTAGCTCCATAATTTTGTTACAAACAGCAGCTACCACAGACGCTGCCCCACCCGCCTCATCTCTCCTGTATAGTCACACGGGGAAGGTAAGTGATTCCCCAAAGGTGAACGGAGGCCTCCCCGGAGCCCTGATGCAAGTGGAGCCAAATGAGTGAGACCCCCTCCAGCCCTGGAGGTGCTGGGCCAGCCCCTGGTACCCACGCACTCCCATCCTTCACCCATTGTGGCTGCTTCTCTGCTTTCCTCCCTGCCTGGCCAGGTCCTTCTCTCCCACATGGCTGGGTTCTTTCCTCCCCAGACCAGATTGCCCCCTGCGTGTTTTTCCTCCCTGAGCACTGTTACCACAACTTGTCATGTGTTAGGCGTGTAGTGTCTCTCCTCCTCTTTTTGTCCAACCTGTCCACATCCGGCCCCTGGCACAGGGTAAATGCTTAGTAGGTATGTGTTGAATGAATAAGTGAGCACACAGACACACAAACCACATCCACCCCTTTATTCCTTCAGCCAACATTTCCTGGGGTTCTTTCTGTGCCTCACTCCGGTGACCCAGACGGTCCCCAGACTGGCGGGGAGACAGGCACAAACGCCACTGGTCTGAGCTGGCAGGTCTGCGAGGGTCGGGGAGGTGAAGATGTGCGAGACCCGCCTGAGGGGCCTTGGCAGTCTTTGGGAGGAGGAAGTGGGAAGGGGGGGCTTGCTTCTGGAGGGTTAGGAGAAGCCAAGGAGTGGGTGAGTGGGCCGTTCTTGGGGACCGAGGATGCTGGTCTGGCCTTAGAGTCCTCATGGCCAGCGTCGGAGGCCGTCCCAGGGTGGGGCTCTGTCCCCACCTTGTCTCGTCCCTTCTCCTGTCCTCCCACAAAAAGACTCGGTGGCCTTCAGGGTGGCCCAGGCCCTGGGGTGCAGGTGACTCAGACACGAGCCCTTGGGCGGGCCCAGGGTGCCCACACTCAGCCCTGGGAGCACTGGAATGTGCCTCAGAAGCTTAGCTGTGGGAGACAGGCTCCTGCGGCTGGGTCTGGGCAGGTGGCTCTGAGGGAACCCAGGACTGCGTAGGATGGAGGACATCCTGGGGACAGCGTAAGTGTGGTGGTGGAATGTTCCAGGATCGGCCTGTGAGGCAGTACAGGTGTACAAGAGCCAAGAAGCCAGTAGGTGGGAGTCAGGGATTTGCCCGGACCCCCCAGGCCCTGAGCCACACTGAGGGTTGCGCTTGGGGCCTGGGTTTGGGCTAAGTGAATAGGGTGTGTGCTGAGACAGATGCGGGCGGGCCAGGCAGGAGCTCCACTGTGGGGGTGGCCCCTCGGAGATGGCGGATGTGCTGTGGCTGTGGGGCAGGCCCCCCAGGGGTGGCCCACGGGGTGAGGCTGTGCGTATGTTGGCCGGGCTGGGCAGCGACGCACCTCCCTGGACGTGGAGTCGGGCCGTGAGGGGCTGTAGCGGTTGTCGGTGCCGAGGTGGCAGGAGATCACTGGATTCCTTTGGCTGCCTTTGCTGCCCGTGGGTGGGTGGAGAAGACAGCTGACACCCACCCAGGACTGGGAGTGTCTGCCGAGCACAGGGTGGGGTGCCACAGAGGTGGGGGAGGGAGCAGTGGCTTGCAGCTCTCGGCAACTTCCAGGGGTCCCTGAGGTCGGTGACAGACCCAGAGTAAATGAAGGTGGAAGTGCCCACTGTGCTGGCTGGAAGCACGGAGCCCAGGGCCTGGGGCAGGTGCTGGGCTTGTGACTCCGCATAGAGGGCCCCCCCACCCCGGCATCACCAGGCCCTGAGGGTTGAGACTGGTGAGAGTTGCCCTGTTGCCCCACCACCACTACGCCCCCCGGTCTCTGCCTCTGGTTTCCCTCCTCTTCTTTTTCTCACCTTGGAGCTGCACCCCATTCGCTTCTGTTTTCCTTTGCATGGTCTTCATCCCTTCCACCCAGCTGCTTCCTTTTCCTCTGAGCTTGGATCTCTTTCCAGTCTTGCACGTAGGGTGTGCGTGGGTCCACTCTCGCTTTCTGCCTCCACAGACAGCCGCCCAGAGATGCGGACCTGGTGGGGGGAGGGGGGCGAGGAAGAGAGAAGGCAAAATGGTGCTGGAGGGGAAGCAGGGGAGGAAGTGCCCCCACTCCGGGTTGGCCCCTGAGGTTCCTGCACAGCAGCCTCACCCTCAGGGGGCAAACGTGGACGTGTGGGGGGCTGGAGGGCCCGCTGGGAAAGGGGGGTCCAGAAATCCACCAGAAGGGAGTAGAGCAGGAGCCAGGCACTCGGGGCGATGCAGAGAACACTCCACGGTAGAGAAATTCCTGGAGGGAAGGAGCAGCTGAGCAGAGCAGACAAAGAGACATGGGGACGGCACAACGTCAGCGGGGAAAGCAGAGTCGGGGACTCAGAGGCCTTAGGAAGAAGCAGGGAGCCCCGTGGTGTGCTAGCGAGGTGAGGCGGTGAGCTGTTCAGAGATGACAGCCACCTGGCGTGGGGGGAGGGGCAACAAGAACGAGCAGGGCTGAGGAAGGTGGACCTGCGGGGCAGGAAGGCTGTGCCCGCGCCTGGTGTCTGGGGGCGCTGCGCTCACCAGGCCGCTGTGCTGGGAAGAATATAAGGAACTTGACCAAGGCCCCTCGCGTGTGTCCGTATGTGTGTGGAGGGCCACGGGGCAGGAGCGTGGGAGGAGGCGGGTGCCGCTCCACCTGCCCTTGGGATCCTGGTCCCTCTGCTCTGGCCCTCCCTGCTGTGGCCCTGTCAGTCTACCCTGTCCCCTGCCCAGCTCAGCTCACAGGGGCCCAGAGGACTGTGGGAAGGGCTTGGGCACCCCTGACTGCCGGCCTGTGGAGGCAGAAAGCCTGTGTGTGAGAGAGAGAGAGAGGCAGAGGCAGGGAGCGATCACTGTGCCCTGAGTCTCCCCTCAGTCCTTCTCTAGCGTTGCCGTCTCTCCTGCACTATCAGCTTCCTTCCGCCTCGAGCTGCATGTCCTTCAAGGCTCCTCTCACCCGCTGTCTCTCACTTTCCTGGTCTCCTCTCCCTGTCTCTCTGTCTCTCCACCGATCTCATCCCCTCTCGGTCTTTCTGCTCCTCTCTGGATCGACCCTGCTTTCTCCCTATCGGCTCCCTCCCCCCCCCCAGGCTCTCCCAGTTCTCCCCGTCTCGGCCCCCATTCTCTGTTCATCGGTGCCTTCCCTGCAGGGCTCCATCACTGGGCCGCACTCCCTTGCATTCCCGCCCTCCCTGTATCTCTCTGTCTCTCCCGTCTCCCATCTCCGCTTCTCCATGGGGCCCTCTCGCTCGCCCTCCCTCTGCTTTCCTCTCTGCCTTTGCCTCCTGCATCGGCTCCTCTGGTCTCCTTCATCTTCTCTACCTCACCCCTGTCTCTCCTCCGTGTCTCTGGTGTCCATCCCTGCCTCTGTGTGCGCCTCTCTTGCTCCCCCTCCCTTCCCCCCGTTTTTTCTGTTTCTAACACCCACACTCACATCCTACCTCAGGAGTAATTGCTTTTGTCTGGGTTGGACTGGACTTGTGGTGGGGGGAGGGTGGGGGGAGCGGGTGGCGCTGGGGGGGTTGGGAGGGACGGAGGTCGCTTAGTGGAGTTGAGGTGGCATCTGCCCAAGCAGGGGATGCTAAGGAGCAGAGGTCCACTGTCCGTGGGGGCGGGGGGCCCTCGGCTCATCCTGGTAGGGGTCTGGGCCTCTGGCAGGGGATGGGAGAGGCCGGCAGGCCCTCACGGGAGGGTCTGGAGGCGAGGTAGCACCACGACAGGCCAGCCAGCATCGCAGCAGCAGCCTGCCTGCACCACCTCCAACCGCCCCCCGCTCAGAGACCCCCCCAGCACCAGCACGTCCACCGAGTCACCATGAGACACACGGAAACACTCCCACAGCCTCCGATCCACTCGGCCATCGGCACCCAGGGACACGCGGCGTCACGTAGACACACGGAAAGTACCCGGGGTCTCTGGCACTCGCACGGAGAAAGGGCCTCTGATGGTGCGGAGATGACCGCACCTGCGGCCACCCACCAGCACAAGCACAGAGTCCACTCGTATGGACACACGGGACTCTCGCCGCAGTCCCCAGACACTCACAGAAACGCCCGTGCTCAGACACACTTGGGCAGGCCGGGGCGTGAACACACCAACACACAGATTCCCTGGCACACGGGACACGCAGCTGCCACATCACCTGGGGGCAGGGCAGGGTTCACCGAGTGGCTCCCGGGATGCTTCTGTGCTTCCCTGAGGGACATGCAGATCTTCATACGCATCCAGGCGTTTGGGGGATCTACTCATGGAAGCACACACAGAGCCGCCCAGCCCCCTGGGACACACCCACTGGCCGGCGGTCACGGAGACCTGGCACGTTAGCTGAGACACGCGGGCACATGGCCTCGGAGACCCACAGCAGCCCCCCGGGGAACACCGAGGACACTGGCACCCTGCACTCACGGCACGGCACGGTTCTTTCCTTGGAACCCCCTGGCCTCAGCCTTACTCCCCACATTCACGAGCAGGCCAGGCTCTGGGGTGAGGCCAAGGTGGCTCTGCCCACCGACCCCAAGCGTGGGGCAGCCAGGCTGCCTGGGGACTGCCCCGCTGTGCCCTGCGCTCACGAATTCTAGTTTGCTCCAGGGGCCCCGCCAGGCCTTGCCCTGCCCGTGGGCTCGGGACAATGTCTCCGTAGTGCCCTGGATGCTCCTGCCCACCGCCCCGGAGGCCCACCCCTCTCATGCCTTCAAAGGGCCCCATCTCCCTGAGCTGCCCCCAACTGGGGGGCTCCCTGCTTTCACGGGGGACTGTCCCTCCGTGTCTCCCACCCCCCCTTCCCTGCCAGTGTGACTCCCACCCATCTATTCCCTGCCCACTCCCATACTCACCCCGTTCCTGGCTGTCCAAGCTCTCAGCTTCCCTAAGCTATCCCGCTGTAGGGGCAGGTGATGGGGGGCCCTGGCCCCACAGAGGCCAGGGGAAGGGGTGCCTGGGGGTGGGGGGGCCTGGGTGCGGCTCCGGGAAAGGGAAGCGAGGCAAGTGGAGAGAGACACAGAGGCAGGCAGGCAGGCAGCCAGCCGGCTTTATATCCCTGCCGTATTGATCCACCATGTCACAGCCTCGGTCGATAGCCAGCCGAGAAGGAGAGGGAGTGAGGGGAGGGGAGGTTTGGGGGAGGGCGGCGGGACCCCTATAGTCCTGGGCCCATCTGGGGCCTCCTGGGCAGGCTGTGGGGGCCTGCACCGGCAGGCCTACACCCCCAAAAGAGGCCCATTGCTGTTCCTCCCCCTCTTCCTCTCGGCTGAGGCCCGCTCCCCGAGAGCCGCTTTTGTAAAATAATTTAAACACAGATTGGTCCGTTTCTTCTTGTTTCTGGTGGTTCTTCACCTCTTGCGGGGCATGGGTGGGGGGCTCACACCTGTGAACTGTCTCGGGTCCTCCCTGTCCCCCGCCCCCGGGGCCGGGCAGCTGTGAGGCCTTGAGGAGGTTCTGCCGTGTGGGGCCGGCCTAGAACCCTGGGCAGCTGAGAGAACCTGCCAGACTGCCGCTCCCCTGGCCAGGGCCAGCCAGGTGCTCAGGAGGGGTTTGCCCACATCCGTGCCCCGCCCTCTCCTTTCCAGCCAGCAGTCCCGCCTCGGAGCTGTGCCAGGCCGTGCTAGACAGGCCACATGTAAAGTTTCTTCCTCCTGGTCCCCTGACCTCCATGGTCTGAGGCAGAAAACTCAGCTTCTGTTCTTCTCAGCCTCCTCTTCCCTCTCTGGGGAACCTTCTGCCACCAGGGCCCCCATCTCAGCCGCCCCTGACCTCAGCCGGGAAAGGAGGGACGTCTCTGACTCCCTAGGTGCAAAGTGGGGGGAGGGAGAAGCGTCTGGACCCCGCAGAGTGCCCTGGGGCCGTGCTTCCATCTTAGACCCCAGCCCTGGCTCTGTCTTCCTCCTCTGGGCCTCAGTTTCCCTCCTACCCCATCTGACTGACCGTGGCCAAGCTCAGAGGTTCTGCGCCGTTCTGGGATCTGCCAGGATTGGTGCGGATGGGGGCAGGGCTATTGGAGGGTGAGGCCAGGGCCAGAGGGGTGCCTGCTGCCCCTCCCTCAGTGGGACTGCCTGGGTCCCAGGTGTTCCCCCCACCCCCAACTCCCCGGGGCTCGGGTTCTTTGTCTGTCCAGATCCTCCTCCCCTCCCAGCCCAGCCTCCCAGAGGTTGAGGAATCACCTTAGCCTTGACCCGAGGGGGAGGGCAGAGGACGGGCAGGCAGGCCCCGCCCCCACCTCCTGCCCTTGGCCATCCCTGCAGCCCCTCTCCTCCCGGCTTCCCGGAGTACCAGGCTGCCCCCCCACCCCCTTCGTAGGGGCTGCCGTTCCCTTTGTTCGGAAGGGGGAGGGGAGAGAGCCGAGCGGAGGGAACGTGCCTTGACCCCCGACCTCTCCCCTTCCCTCCTCCCATCTGGGTCCCCAGGGGCTCAGAGCCCCCTTGACGGACAGTTCTGACCATCAACCAAATGGCTCTGGGAGTGAGCAGGGGGTTAGGTAGGGGGGAGGGGAGGGAGGTCTGGCCAGAGCCCTGCGCCCAACCGAGGGGGGGGGCGGCGTTTCATGGGTGTTTCTTGAGCAGCAGGGGGAGATAGGTACCCACTGGGGCAGGTCCTGGGGGAAGCCTGGCCGCATTGGGGGATGTGTAGGCAAAACGGGGCTCAGCTCCGAGCCAGCAGCTCTGGAAGCCCTGTGGGTAGGGGCCTGGCCTGAGCAGACGCCGCCGCCCCCCACCCGGCCTGCGGCATTGGGAGTGCAGTGAGTTTTAAAAAAAAAATTAAAAGAAAAAAATAACAGGAGCAGGAGAAGCTGGGGGAAAAATATATAAGAAAAAATATAATAAGAACTAAGCGGTGGCTGCAGGAGAGAGAAAGGGCAGGAGGCGGGGAGGGGGGCGCAGGGGGGAGGGCGGCTGGGCCCTGGTCGCTGCGGAGGCCCGGCCGCCGGCCTCTGCGCTGAGCCCTCCGCGTCCCCCCTGCCGGCCCCCTCCAGCCCCGATCGATCCAGTTTCTTGGCAATAAAGCATTTTTATTGTCAG